ATCTTTACTGCGATTGCTCCAGAACGATGATTTTCCAACTCTGTCTCTGCTCCCATGGTTGCCAGTCGGCCATCGGCTTTATACTGGGAGCAGGAACCTTCCCTTTGAAGATTTCTTAATTTTAACATAATCTAACTTACTGGCTTTTTCTTTCTAGTCAATGCCTTTTATGTCCTGTTCAAAATTTTTTTTCCCTACCACCACCTCTTGAAAATATTCTGTTTCCTTAAAGCTTCGTTATTAGGCCTTTGACACTTAGGACTGTGATACATCTGGGATTTTTTGTTGTTGATGATGTGGGATAGGGGATGAAGATGGACTTCTTTCCACATGGAAATTCAATTGACCTAAGTGTCTTTATTAATGATTTTTATTTATACAAGAAATGGATGAATGCTTTCCTCCTTTGAAAAATTCAGAGGATTACAGAGAATGCTAAAAATCCCTTTGACCTTCTCTGCCTATCTTGATCATTTCCCCCTCCCTGCAGGGGGTGCCTCAGAAGTGACCCCTGTTATCAGCTCTTTACATCCTTTCAGACTTTCTTTAAACATTTGCAGACAGGCACGCACTGTGTTCTGTTCCTCCGCACCCCTCACAGTGTATGACTCATTTTGCAACTTGCTTTTTCACCCAGCAATATGACTTGGCGGACTTCTTGGGTCGGTACATATAGATCTCCAAGTAAATGGTTGCACTGGATTACACGTTATGCATGTCACATGTGATAAACTCGGTCAGAGCACATATTTGCAGCTTGCTTAGTCATTTGTGGACTTTAAAGTTGGTTCTAATTTTCTGTTTTGCTACCTCAATGATTTTTATGCACACTGTGTGAACCACTTGCTGGGTTGCACTGTTGTGAAAATTGGGGTGGATGAGGGATGAGAACTTGAGTGTGGAAGGCACTGGGCTCTTCCTAGATTAAGGACAAACAAAACGGCTCAAAGAGTTTGTGTGACTTACTCAGGCTTACACAGTTAGTGGCAGAGCCAATCAGGACACCTGCCTTGGGATGCCAAGTCCAGGCCTCTGCTCTCTACACAGCCCTGCCCAGGGCCCAACTGACCTCCCCAGCCATCCAAATGCTCAAGCTTCCCTGTCCTCTTCTGGCTCCTCTTCCCCGTGGAGATGGGCCTCCGATATGGGATACCAGGGGCGTCTGTTCACTGCTCCTTCCTTACTGTCAGGGACAGGGCACTTGCTCACCTCCCAAGGCCCTGTGGTCTCCTCTCAAGGAGGTAAGATGGCACTTCAGTTCCAGAGCCTGCCCCTAAGCCTCCCCTCCTCTCAATCTTCATTTATCTAAAACTCCTCCAGCTTCCAAGATCTCCCTGCAGGACAGACAAGAACAAATCTGGAAGCCAGAGAAGCTGCAGCCCTTAAATCACATGTTGGGCCAAATAATCAAAGAATCTTCCCCAAATTTGTCAACGGTGGTGCTGGGCCTAGCTCTCAGTAATGACTCTCACTTGATGACAGATCTTGAGAAAATGCGTTTTGGAAGCAATCAGTATATGCTGAATAGAACCCTATTTTACAAGCATTTTATCTACTCTTAAGGACATGGGAGATGAGGAAAACAGATAAGCCTCTCTATTAATATTGATTAGACCATTATATATCTGAGAAAGAGATTTTAGGCAGAGATGATTGCATCTCACCAGAGCAGCATGTCTCCTCAAATCGAATCGTTTCATTTGCCTCGCAGAGCTTGGGGGTGTGGGGAGGGGGACACATGCAAGCTTTGCTCCCCCACCCTGGGCAGAAGAGGCAGGAGAGGGATGCTGAGTGACAGGGACCAGGAAGACACTCACGTGCTTTCTCGCCAGCCCCACAAGGAGCTCAGTAAGAGGAAGTTAAAAAAGGAAACAGCAGCAGGAAGGATTGAGGTTAGACTTCAGGAAGAAATGCTTGCTTCTAGCAGAGTTCAGAAGCTGAGGCCCTTTTCTGGAACAGCTTTAAGAATGAGATCATGAACAGGCCTTTTGATTATTGATCACAAAAGAGGACTGGTAAACATCAAAAATGTTCAACCTCACTAGTAACCAAAATAATGCAAATCTAAATAATAAACTATTGTTTTTGCTAGCAGATTAGCAAAGATTGTTTTTAAAGCATCATGCCTGATGCTGGCAAGAATTTAGCGAAACTGCATTCTCATGCATTCCTGGCAGAAGGGTAGGTGAGTGCAACCCTTTTGGAAGACAATTGGATGATATTTTCCGAGGACCTACTTTTTTGCCAAGCACTAAGTTGGAACCTGGAAGGATAGCATTGACTAAAACTAAGTCCTTGCCCCCAAAGACAATAAAATTTATCAGGGGAAATTTGAAAATAACACATCAAAAATGCAACTAAATATTTACAAAATGTGAAGAGCCTTAAAAAGGGCCAGGTGTGGCGGCTCACACCTGTAATCCCAGCACTTTGGGAGGCCAAGGCAGGCAGATCATCTGAGGTCAGGAGTTCGAGACCAGCCTAGACAACATGGCAAAACTCTGTCCCTACTAAAAATACAAAAATTAGCTGGGCATGGGGGCGCACACCTGTGGTCCCAGCGACTCAGGAGGTTGAGGCAGGAAAATTGCTTGAACCCAGGAGGTAAAATTTGCAGTGAGCTGGTATTGTGCCACTGCACTCCAACCTGGGTAACAGAGGAAGACTCCGTTTCCAAAAAAACAAAACAAAACAACCCTTAAACACACACACACACACACACACACACACACGCAAATAGGGAGCTGAGGGGAGACAGTGAGTGAGGGAGGTTAGTGAAGGCTTTTCCAATGAGGCGACTTTGGGCTGAGTCACAAAAGCTAGAGAAGACACAAACCACAGGAAGAAAACAAGATGACACTGGCAGATGGAACAGCAGGTGCAAAGGTCCTGTGGTGGCAGAGACTTTTGGTGAACTGAGAAGAGGCCAGAAAGGCACAGTAGGCAAGGGAAGCATGGTGGGAAGGTAGGAGAAATTGGCGGGTGGGCGATGCACTGTAAATGCTGACTCTCCTGGGGTGCTAGGGGTCCTCCTGGGTTTTCAGCAGGGACAGCACACAGTCTGCCCTTACCATTTTTTTTAACTGCTGCTGTTTTTTAAAATTATTATTTATTGTTATTTTAAAAACCTATAACATGAGATCTACTTTCTTTAAAAAGTTTTAAGCATAGAGTATAGTATTGTTAACATGCACAATGTTTCTCAGTAGATCGCTACAACTTTTTTTATCCTTTTAAAGATTATTTTATTTTTTTAAGTTCCAGAGTACATGCGCAAGATGTGCAGGTTTGTTACATAGGTAAATGTGTGCCATGGTGGTTTGCTGCACCTATCAACCCATCACCTATGTATTAAGCCCAGCATGCATTGGCTCTTTTCCCTAATGCTCTCCCCTGACCCCACTTTTTTTTTGAGACAGGGTCTCACTCTGTCGTCCAGGTGTGCAGTGGTGCAATTTCAACTCACTGCAACATTCACCTGTGCTCAAGCAATCTTCCTATCTCAGCCTCCCAAGTACCTGGGACTATAAGTGTGTGCCACCATGCTTGGCTGGGTTTTGTATTTTTTGTAGAGGCAGGATTTTGCCATGTTGCTCAAGCTAGCCTTGAACTCCCGAGCTCTAGCAATCCTCCTACCATGGCTTACCAGGGGTGGGTAATAGAGGCAGCAGGAAGGACAAGTGGGTGCCTATGGCAGCAAGGAAGGTGAGAGGTGACAGGGGCTGGGATGAGGGTTTTGGCAAGGGACATGCATCAAACACCTTACAAAGGCATAAGCTCAGGATGAGCAAGGCCACTCCAGGAGCTAATCAGATGCACGCAGCAATTTACATACACACCCATTCATTACGGGCTTAGTTACAAGGACAGAACCCTGGAAACAACAGAAACGTTCACCACGAGAGGGCTGGTTAAATGATGGTGCCCACAGACAAGGGCTGCCGTGTAGTTATGAGAATTATTGTTTTAGAAGAATACTGAACAACACAGGAAGATGTTTACATTGTATCTTGAGTGAAAAAAATCAGGACACAAAACTGAATGTGTATTATGATGCAGGTTGAAAAAAATGGTGTTTTTCTATTTAAAATAAACACCGATATTTCAGTGGCAACTCTCTGGGTGGCCTATGGGTTATTTGAATTTTTTCCTACATTTCAGTGTTTCTCAATTGTCTAACAATAAGTGTCTACTTTTATAATTAAGAAAATAGTTATTTTTTACACCTATCATCTCAGCTCCTCGGGAGGTTGAGGTAGGAGAATCACTTGAACCTCGGAGGCGGAGGTTACAGTGAGCTGAGATCGTGCCACTGCACTCCAGCCTGGGCGACAGAGTGAGACTCCGTCAAAAAAAAAAAATAAAGAAAACATAGTTATTTTTAAATTAATAAGGTAAATCTCTCTCAAGCAGGCAAGGGGCAGGTGTGTGAGTGAGAAAGGAAGAGTGTGGAGGAGGAAAGGGTTAGACAAAGTGAGTGTTAAATCCGAATCTCCATGTAGACAGAGGTCAGATGTTCTCCCTCTCAGCCTGAGACCCTCCTGTCCTTGAAGAAGCTTCCTAAAACCAGCCCAGATCTCCTCCTCTGTTCCCCTGCCTCTTTGCATGTTTCTGGAAGGCCTCAATAGTGTATTATGCACAGCCTGCCTGTGGTCTGGCCACTGGGAGGCTGAAGAATGCAGATGCCTGGGCCCCGATGTTTCCACCCTGGGACCACCCCTTCCTACCCCTAGTCTTCTCCATCTTACTAATTGCTTAACCCTCTCAACAGAGGCCATGAGTATGGCTACGGGGAGTGTGGACTCTGGAGCCAGACCGCCTGGGCTGGAATTCTGGCTCTGGCATGCACTTGCTGGGCTCAGTACCCTCAACCATGATATATTTATAGTATATATATTTTATATATATATATATATATATATATATATATGAGTATAGTGTATATATATGCATATTATATAGCATACAATAAATAAATATAACATGTAATATATATATTGTTTTTAGTTTTGTTAAAAAGCATTCTGACATGTCAGAAATGGGGGTTCAGGAGTGGTAGTGATGCAGAAGAAGGAAGCCATGGGGTGTGGGCTGTCAGGGGTGGAGGCACTGTTGTCTCCTTCACCCCCTCCCTAGTGTCCTCTTATGAAGGATAGATGGTCACCTTCCACAATGGGGGAGTCGTCTACCATGTCTGTTCGAAGTAGGAGGAGATGTCGAGCTCATCAGGCAGCTCACTAAGGTTGACCTCAAAGCAATCCTGCACATCATTGAGGATCTTGGCATCAATCTCAGTGGACACAAATGTGATAGCCAAGCCCTTGGTGCCAAACCGACCTGCTCTGGCCACTCAATGCAGGCAGGTGTCAGAGTCCTCAGGCGTGTCATAATTAAAAGCCATGTTCACCCACTTAATGCTTATGCTTCAGCCAAGTAGGTTAGTAGCCACAAGAATTTGCCACTGAAAACCTTTGAACTGCTGATACTGAGAAAGCCTCTGCTCCTGGGGCATCCCCCTGGTAGGTGGCAATGGCTGGGAAGTTCTGCTCCACCAGTAGCTGGGCTGAGGCAATGTGCCGATGCACAGACTTCACAAAGATCACCACCTGGTTGAACTCAAGGACATCCGGAAGATCAAACAGCTTCTGATTCTTCTCGTTGTCCTTTAGTTTCATGTAGTACTGCTGCAACCCATGCAGTGTCAACTTCTTCACATCATCCATGAAGATCTCCACCGGATCTTGCATGAACTTGTGGCGGACTGGACAGATCTCTTTGCTCAAGGTAGCCCTGAACATCATGACCTGCTTCTCATGGCGGTGTCATGCAGAAAAATATCCTGGGCATCATGACCCACGTTGAGCTGTTCAAACATCTTATCACATTCATTCAAAATAAAGTGTTCAATGTGTTTGAGATTGAGGCTCTTATTCTCAAGCCAGGGCTAGGATAGGCCAGCAGTACCTATTCCCCAGAGCGGAAGAGCAGCAGTGTGAAAACATGCATAGCCTGTACAACAGCATCTGATGCACGGCCATTCCCTGTAAGTGGTAGCTGTTCCTACCCTTCCAGTTACTCAGGCTGAAAACCCAAGGGTCATCCCTGATTCCCCCTTTCCCTCATTCCAGCACCGGTGCCGCCAGCACCTGCAGGTCCCTTCGTTTCTCAGCCTTCCACTGCCTCCCCAGCCCATGCGACTGTCCTCTCTTGCCGGCACTGCCGTCCTTGTTTCCTTTCAGTCCAGCCTCCTCTCACCAGCCAGAGGGACTTGTGAAGATGAAAACTGTATGATGCTACTCCTCTGGTGGAGTTCTGAAGACAACTCAAACTTTTTGCCATGGCCTACAAGGCCCTAGTGAGTCCTCTTACAGGAAAGAAATAGAAATTTAAACAACAGAACAGTATTTTGCCTTCAGATTAGCAAAGATTTTTAAAAATAAAAATAAGACACAGTGTCGGTGACAATGTGGTGAAACCGCAGTTTTAGCCTGAGAACTTCCTGTTCCAGCATTTTGAGGTCAGGAAAGATGTCTGACAAGCGGACTGAGAAGGAGTTAGATAGGGGAGAACCAGGTCAGTGGAGGTTAGGGAAGCCAAGAGGAGGGAGTATTTTCAGAAGGAAGGGGGTCTCTTGGGCCACTGAGAGGTCAGAGAAGACGTGAACAGGGAACTGACCATGGCTGGGGCCACAGTGGTTCCAGTGGAAGGGAAGAGGAAAGCCATATTCCCACAAAGGCAGAGAGAGGAGCCTACGAATGGCGATGGCAGAGTGTGTGTGTGTGTGTGTGTGTGTGTGTGTGTGTGTGTGTGTGTGTTGTGGTTGGTGGCAGCTGCAGCAGTCGAGGAGATCGTGAGGAGACAGCAGCCCAAGGAGAAGTCTGAAAGGTAAGGAGAGCCCTCTGCAGGGTGCAGGGAGGGTTGACTGAGAGGGTCCTGAGAGCCTGGCGGAGGAGCAGCAGGAAGTGGGAAGGAAGGAAGGAACTTCAGGAAGTGGCAGGCTTTGCTCAACGTCCCAAGGGGGGCCCAGCTTAAAGCTCATTAGAAAAAACAAAGGAAAGCACCTGAGTTTCATGAGTTTGGTTCTAGATGGCAATTTCTCCTGGAGCCTTCTTATTTTCGTTGGTAAGGAAGATTGCTTTGATCACTGCCTTAGAGAAAACTTAATTCTGATAAGGAATGTCTGAGTTTGTATCAATTTGAGGATTCTCCACAGGAGAAATGAGCTGGTGATGTAAGGGCCCCACAAGAGGAGAAGACAAACACCTGCCCCCCAACCGTGTGTGTGTGTGTGTGTTTGTGTGTGTGTGTGTCTGTCTGTCTGTCTGTCTGTCTGCCGTCTCCTAGTTCTAGTTAGAACTCGGAGAGCAAATAAAAGTATTTTGAGTCATTTGTTGGGACAGGGCAGTTGGGTGAGGATGGGGTTAGGGACTATTGTTTGGAGCTCAAAGACAGTAAAATGCTTTCAGTTTTGGTGTCTCAAAAGTGTGGGTTGGGGGAGCAGCATATAAGAAAACTTTCCTTGCCCATCTGGGTTCCACATTTCCTTCCAAATTCTGCTTAGAGTTCGCAACCTCCAGGAAGCCTTCTCTCCCACCTCACCTCAGTCCTAGCTATCATTTGAGTCTGAGTTGGCCTGGACAGATTTGTGTCACAGGACCAAGCATAGATGCTCACACTGCAGCACCTAGGGGAATCTCCCTCTCTCTGGGCCTTGGTTTCATTATCTATACATCAAAGAGGATGACAGTGACTCTGACCCTTGCAGTCTCCGGTCCTAAGGGCACCCAGGGAGTGTGAGAGTAGGCAGGGTAAGGAGAAGCAGCAGACACCCCTGTTATCTACGGGATGGTATGCTAGACCTTTTTCATCCATTATCTCATTTAATTTCACAACAATCCTATGTGCTGGGAACTATGACTGTTCTCATTTTACAGATGAGGAAACAGGGCCTTAGAGATGTTAAATGATTTGCCCAAGGCTGATCTGACAGGAAATGGCCAGGCTGCACTGGACACAGTCACCTGGCCTTGTAAGAATCCGGGGAGGGGCCGGGCGGCCCTTGTGGCACTTTCCCCCAGAGTGAGCAGGGGCCTCTGAGAGGTCCTGTGCCTCTCTGATCTCTTGCTCAACTGACTGTGTGTTGTCTGTCTCAGTCTTGGAAACTCCTAGGGAACATAATTACACACTGTCTTTTCTCTAAGTCAAGGACTGAAAAATTAAATTCTTACAGGGCCAGGCAGTAATTAAGTGAAGTGGGCAGAGCAAGTGCAAATGCGTTTGTTGCCTGAGTGGTGGTAAATGCAGCTCCTGAGGAGCACTCGTTTCTCAGGGACGACTGCTTCTCAGCTTCAGCCAATTGTTACCTCCTGGTATCAGGGCTCAGCATTATCAGAACCTTTGGTCTTTCCAGGGAAGCTGCATTTCCTGATTTTTAAAAGTTGGTCTAAATCTGCTGGCTCTGAGCAGTATTTTAAAACAACAAATGAATAAATGAATAAAATACATTAACAGACTGAATATTGCTCTGCCAGGTGACAGTTTTGCAACCTCTGAAGCCTGATTTCATCCCTGCCTTGTCCAGGCAAGCTTCATTGAAAGTCTCCTTTTCTATGGTTGCTCACAAAGTGGTGCTGATGCCCTTGGGTGGGACCATGGTTTGGTGTTTGTGAAGAAGTGGGAAGAAGTCTCCCAGAAGTCTCTTCCTTTACCACTCCCCACTCCCAACTGTCACTGCAGCCCTCAAGCATACTTCAGTGCTTTCCAAGGGTGGGGCAGGTATTGACGAGAATGGGTCCCAGTTTCAGACCTCTTTGAGTAGCTTTCCAGCTAGACTTTCAACAACAATGTTAGATGGCATCCTCACAGGAATAGCAGCCCCTTGAATTTATAACCTCAATCCTCAAAGTTCTCTGAGAAGACTAGAGAAATAGTAGCTGGGGTGAGGTGAATGTCATACACATATTCTAAGATAATCAACACACAAGGGAACAAGATGCTATAAGCAAGTGCTAGTAGAAACAACAGACAATAGAAACAGACTCATGCAGACTTCAGATATTGGAATTATTAGACATAGACTATAGAATAACCATGCTTACTGTGTTCAAAGAAATAAAAAACACCAGCTCAAAAACTTCATCAGGGAACTGAAAAGTGTTGAATACACAATAATTTTTTTTAGAAAGGAATTATAGAACTAAAATGCAATAGCTAAAACTAAGAACTTGATGGATGAGTTTAAAAACAGATTAGACACAGCTAAAGAGAAAATTACTGAATTGGAATTAAGGTCAGAAGGAACTGTTCAGAGTGTAGCACTGAGAGACAAAAAGATGGGAAATACATCACTATTGAAGAATTTGCTAAAAAAAAAAAAAGGAAAAAAGATGGAAAATACAGAAAGGAGTGTAAAAGACAAGGAGGACAAAATGAGAAAATCTAGAATATATTTAATTGAAGTTTCAGATGAAAGGAGAAAGAAGAGAGAAAGAACCAGGTGAAAGAAATATTTAAATTTTCTATTACAGAGGAAAGACATCAGTCTACTGTTTAAGAAGGTTACAGTGGTGGTTTGATCTATACCAGACATAGGAGGGCTCAGCCATTTTCTGGCTCAGAAGGGTCAGAAATGACTTGCAAATCACCGGGCCTATATGGGAATTGAGCCAGAGGTCTCCAGCCCAGGAGAAATGGGAGTTGGGAGAGTAATAGAAGTGAAGTTTTCATTCATTTGCTTCACTAATTTACTAATTGATTCATTTGTGCACTTACTTTTCAATTCAATGTCTATTTCTTGAGCGCCCAAGAGGCTTGAGTCACTATAATTGGCATTTGATCAGAAAATAAAGAGTCTTTGTATTTTGTGATTTTTTTAAAAAATTTGAGAGACAGGTTCTTGCTATGTTGCTCAGATTAGTCTTGACCTTCTGGGCTCAAGCTATCTTTCCACCCCATAGCCTCAAGTAGCTGGGATTATAGGCATGCACCACTGTACCCAGGTGAAGTCTTAGTTTTAAAGATGTTTGTCCTTGAATGAGGCAAAATGTTTAGAGAGTTTAGTGTCTGGGTGCCCAGAAGCAAGATGGCACCTGGAGCCTAAGATAATGGGGATTAGAGGCCGGTTTGGGGACAAAGGCAGTTTGGTGGGAAATGACCAAAACTAGTGCCTATGAAGATGTTGGCCCATCTGTGAAGACAGCAGTCACTCTAGGAAGAGGTAATTTTGGTGTCAAATAAGCAGCTTTGCTACTTTGAGTGGAATTGATAAGATTTTTGAGAACCTGACCAACTTAATGTTATTTTCATTTTATTCATTTTCAATAAGATTTATTGTAATAAAAGGAGCCTGCCTAAACTATACTAAAAGGAGTATGCTGGCATCAGCTATAGAGAAAAATGACACAGCAGTCCTGTAAAGGCCACACATGGGCATTAAGGAAGGGACTCCAAGGTACATCTTCAGGGAACAAACCCAGGACTCTGAGCAGCTATCATACCTGAAGGTTTAGGAAGGCTTAGAATGCTTTGGGTAGGTGTGGAAGCCATTGGGATCTTCAGCAGCAGAGAGAAGTGAGGGCCAGGAGGGGTGAGAGGAGGTGCGGTCAGAGCCAGGTGCAGCTGGGAAAGAGGGAGGCTGGAGTGCGTCAAGTCCACGGCTCGCCCAGGCCAATGTGCACTATGGGATGGGCAGTGAAGTGGCCTCAGGCTCTTGCTGCTGAATGGTGAGCCGTTCCCAGCACACTTAGCTGAAGGTAGCCTTCTCCCTCTTCCTGGTGAAAGTTTGATGTGGAGTTTATTGATTCCATTTGCCACAGTATTTTTCTTAAATATTTTTTGAGTCTAATGCACACCATATGCACCCATAATGGCTCTGACTAGCCTTGCTTTTTTGCAGAACCAATAAAGCAATTCGGAGGAGATGAAATTAAACTCAGAGGCTTTGGGAAAGGGTAACTGGAG